CTGGAGTGAGTGTTCTCAAGAGCTCCACTAAGGGATATGAATGCAAGTAAATGATGGAAGTACCCTTCAAGAATAGCAGCTCTCATTAAACTATCCCTAATGTGATTGTACCTATTGCAACAAAAAACTAAGTAAAGTGGTATTTGGTCCTCCTGAATACCACAATTGCATTGTGGATTGTCCCCGAGGTTAATCCATGCAAGTATTGCTTAAAGTTACTGTGTCCTGTAAGTAGCTGGGTGAGAGTAAGGTAAGGTAAAAATGGCAAAGGATCGCAGTAGTATCAACCTCAGAGATGAAAGTGTATGTGAGCCTTCCAGTGGTGTCATGGTCCCAGCTGTCTTGTCAAAGAATGAAGATTTGCTTCTTGACGTGATTGGTGATGTATGAGGTAGGAATGTAACTGAAAGTACTAGTGACTGAAGATTTTCAGCTTGTTTGGCAAGATGGTCAGCGGTCTTGTTGCCGAGAACCCTTGCATGACCAAGGACCCATTGGAAATCTATTCTATTCTGGCCGAACCCATAATGGATATGTTATAAAGGTTTCTTAATAATCATAGTACAGAAAAGAACCACAAAGTAAATTTGAGCAACTTTTAATAAGTGGAACATCCATAAAAAATTCCTGAGAGATGCCATCTTTTTGCCACTTAAAAAGACTGCCAAATGACTGGAACAAAGAAGGTGGCAGTGGCATTTCATAAATGCATTGTATAATGCTTAAATTATGTAAATAAGATAATGAATTGTGAATCAGCAAAATGCATCCCAATCAAATCTCAAAATTCTTGACAAATGATAGAACAACCTCTATTGGAAAGATCTGGAGTTTATAAAATCACTGTTAATTACATAGGAACCACAATCAGAATGCAACCACCTGCATAGTTGAACATTACGACATTACAGTTAAGTGAGAAGGTTGAGTGTAGCTTGAACCTGTTAAATTGGGAATTTTTCAGCATTACTTAATCATTTTTCTTACAATAGCCCACTTCCTCTTTAAATCTTTATGTAAAAACTTCCTCAAAAATACAAATTATGTGTAATATTACTGGAAGTACAGTACATTACACCAGATTACAGGAAGTATAGTTGTTTGACTGTACTTCCTGAGTTGTTTGAGTAGTTCATATGAGTGATGTAAGTAGATTCGTCTTTGCAGACAGTGAATGGTTAAAGTTATTTAATACAGTAGAGATAACAGAGATATGAAAATGATAGATATCTATATATTTTTATGTATGGCTGATGAGGGTTTTGTATACTAAAATGCATACCAGTAACAAAGTTGCATTCTGATGATAGAAGTGTCATTTTGATGTTACCAGTAGCAGTGTGATAAGTCTCTGTTATCTCTACTATATTATTTGATATATTAGTTTCAACAATTTTCAAGACAAAAAGCTCTTTTATAATCATGTATAAAATTTTGTAATTTAATACAATGATTTTAACCATCAAGAAAATAAAACAGCATAATAAGCCTTTCAGTGTTTGGTGTCGTTAAAGAGCATAAACAGTATATAAACAGTAATGTTTTATTAAAAATCAAACATATTTGGTCTACTTCATTGGGCTACCAAATATTTAGAAATAAAACATTAAATCTTTGAAATAAAATATAAACAGTTGAAAAAAATCAAATACTTAAACATTGAAAAATAACATTGATTATAACAAGATTTGTATAAATGAATATCGCTTGCAGTTTTATAATAATAAAGAAATGAAATAAATAAATAAAAAAATAACACATAAAAGTGTATCAAAATTGTATTAATGTGCATGTCATTGACTTGTTAATTAATACATATTTCCATGCATTAGCACCTCACTTCAAACACAAACTTTGAGAGAAATTTGATCCAGAGTTCAAACGATGCGCGCTATATAAATACCATCTGTTGTTATCTGAGTCATCTCTTGCTCTCTCTCCACGAAAGCACCTTTTGCATTACATGTGTGTCTTTTCAGTGCTTTTTGACAAGACTATGTCTTGTTTATAAAATCGTACTGCCCGATATTCTTACCAGCATAGAGATATGAAGGAGTACATGTCGAGAGTTGATATTTGGCACAGAGTATTAGGTACCCAAATCACTTGCGCATAAAAAAATCCAGACTCATAGGTAGTCAGGGGACAGAGAATCGAGTCAAAATAAAATACAAAATGGCGACCCTCTTCTACAAACAGGCAAAACAACAACCTCACCCCACTGAAGTCAGGTAGGGAAGAGTACCACCCATAGTCATTCTAAGAAGTGAACTCTGACCTTAGGACTGAACACGTAGTTTCTTCTATGTTAAATAAAATTTGTAATCTAATTTTGTAAATTTGGGAGTGCTTCATATATGACGTTAAAACAGTTTTATGTCGTTACAAGTGGGTTTTTTTTAACATTATCTAGTATAGTAAAATCATAGGACCAATAAAAATTTGACGTTATATTAGGGTTGTCGTTACATTCAATGACATTATAATCGGGTTAAACTGTATACAGTCGACCCCCCTATAATTACGATTCCTATAAAACTACAAAAAAATATACGTATTTTGGAAATGTTGGTAGAATCGATTAATTTTATGGAAGAAAACCTTTCAATCAGCCGTAGTCCGTAAACTTGACACGTGTCGGGCTGTGATTGGAACGACTTGTAAGAAATCGGATTTCTAATAAATTGGAACGTATCTATATCTTATAGGGGGGTCGACTGTATTGTTTGTGCAAAATAAATAAATAATTTCAAACAATACAATAGCCATGATTATTTTTTTCAAAAACGGGAACTTTTCATTACGCATCAACAAAAATTCTACCTGGGCCAGCATGCAACGGAGAGAAATTTTGAAATTAGATAGGTTAATTTCATCGGAGATGCATCGTGGACGTGACCGGCGAAGTATGAACGATTGCGCCCAAAAGCAGCAATATCAAAGAAGATAAGAGAATGAGAACGAGATCTGCCTTGAGCATCAAAGTGATTCCATCTCCGAGATGTAGTCTTGTCCCAAATACAGTTTTGCCGTTTTACTTGTCTCATTTTATCTTTAGTGTATTTTGTTAAATGTATAGTTCCTACCCATTAACTATAGCATCCAAGAAAAGTTGGAAGCAACAAAGTCTAAAAGGAAGATTACTATATCAATGATTGAGATGAAAAAGGAAGTTATTGTGAAAACAGTACAGGTGTGGCAGAACTGTTTATGTCACTGAAGTCAACATTGGATACCAGAGGTGAGCAAAATCCCCCAAGATCATCTGTAAAGTCTCTAGTGGCTACAAGTGAGAAAAAGGATTGCGAGTGTTATCACCCAATTGAACTCCAATTGACCAATAGCACTCACAATCGCACTAAGTATGAACATAGAGTTATGCACAAGGTTTAAATATTTGAAAAAATTGAGTAAAGCATACTGATTATGTGTTTAACTTAAATTTTCTAATTTTTTTTAATAAAAATTATGTAAATTTGTGTGCAGGCTGCACAAAATGACTCATGAGCTGTAGTTTGCCCACCTCTGACCTGGTGTACACTATTCTTAAGAACAAGGAAGCAATAAAAGCAGCAAATGTGACTAAAGGTGAGACAATGTTGACCTCTAGAAGATGGGTATTCATTAGAACCTGGAAATAGATTAATTCACTTTCTATTATTTCTAATAGGGAATATTTATTTGTACTTCAAACAATTCACAGTTCGAACAGCCTTCTGAAACAAATGAAATACTGTGAGGCACCACAGTATTTCTATGCATTGGCAAGAGATTCAGAATATTTCCATGCATTACCAAAGATTACCGGAAACATCAATTCACCAAACTGCGGGTACATTGTCAAAAACATGAAAAAATTTAAGCAAATTAGTGGGCTAATGTTTAAACACAAAAGACTCAGTGCCCACAGGATGGAAAGAATATAAAGAAAAAATTCTAGCCGTTAAGCAGCGAATTCTAGATATAATACCACACTAAGTCATTCATTATATCGAGAGTTTACCATATACGTAAACAGCAAGGACACTACATCAAGAACATCAACCGGACGAGAAACACAATTAAACCACGGGCCACAAAGAATAGAAAGAAAAAACCAAGCAGTCATACGGCGAGTTCCCAATATAGCGAATAACTTAGCTCCGTTCACCATATTAAGAACTCACCATATAACGGCTGTTTTTTTCTTCTTGTTCTTTGTCTGGTGGGCACTCCCAGAGTATTTAATTCATTTTTCATCCAGTCGACATCTACGGTAAACACAGTAGACCTCGAAGTAGCACACTAGCTATTTATATACACGACAAACTCGCGATACGGCGAATGATTCAGTTCAATTCGCCGAATAAAGAGTTCACCACACACGCAAACGGCAAGGACACTACACCATACTTACCGCAAACGTCACCGGGCGAAAAATGCAATTAAACAATCCGAAAAGTGCCGACGAGCCGGAAAGAACAAAAACAAACTCGTTATGCAGCTAGTTCTCTAAATACAGCTGCGTCGAGAACCCGCCGCTCAACGCTCGGGTTTTGCTCGTCGTCAGGGCTGTGGAGTCGGAGTCGTCAAAAAATCCACCGACTCCGACTCCCTTTTTACTTACCAACTTGTTATGTATATGAGTTGGAGTCGGTAGATTTTTACGTGACTCCACAGCCCTGCTCGTCGTTCTTTCCGTCCCACGGGCACTTTCAGAATATTCCATTCCATTCTTTCATCCGGTCGACACTTACGGTAAGTACGACGAACCCGGACGTAGCACCGTCGGCAGTTACGTGTACGGCAAAAGATCGGGTTTGCCGTACGCGCAGCGGCAAGGTCGCAACATCAAGGTCCACCGTATTTACCGTAAACGTCGACCGGACCAAAACCACAATTAAATAGTTTATTTTTATGCATGACGGATTACACTCCTCACAACTGCGTTATTGTGTCTTTTAATACGACATTTCATCGTTTATAAACTTTAAATTAACGAATATTTCACTCTTACTTACCGGTGACTTCGGAAACTTGTTGAAATTCCCTTAAATTGACGTTGTAAGACTTCAGACGAGATTCGACGTCACCCAAACAGACTAAATTCAGCCCCCTTTCGTGTGCACGTTCTAATAAATGGCAAACTTCTGGCGAATAAGAGGTCCATTTACATCGGTCATTCATCCATTCCCAAACTACGGACTTTAATTCGGTTTCGTTTGTCATTTTCTACGAGATTGTCAAACCAGACGATAATGTAACGGCAGCCATTTTGTTTTTTATCTGTTGTTTTGGGAAATACCCTGACGTCATCGAATTGTTTTTATTATTTTCTTTTTTTCATACAGTAATTCAACTTTTGAACGGTCGAATATTAATTTATGTTAAATTTTTTTTTTAATATTTTTTATTGTGTAAATTATTATTATTTTTTTAATGTTCGTCGGAATTTTGAAGAATTTCTAATGGAGCGCCACTAATAAGTGGTGGCTGTTAAGTAAATTATTTTTGATTTCGTCATCATCCTGTTATAAAACATTGCAGAAAGCATTGTAATCGATTGAAATTTTTACTTTCTTGTGACATTCCAGATTTTTATAATATAATATTGTAATCGTGTCACATTTGACCTTCCGGGTTTTTAGAATCGTGATGTTTTGACACCTCTGAATCCAAAAAATCCAATAAACTGTTACCCGAAACGCGTGTGTGTGTTGGCTTCTATTTCGTTTAATATCTCAGGATGGGATAAAGATTAAGTAATGAAATTTGGCACCGTAACGATTTTACTCGTCTCTAATACCCTCAAAATTAAATTTTTTTCCATTTCATAATCATTATTAATACAAAAAGGATCTTTATAACAAAATCTCTTAACAGATGGCGTTACACGCAATTTTATTTATTATTATTAATATAAAAAAATGATATTTTTAATTAAAAGCGCATAACAGCCGGGAAAGTTACGCAACTCGTTGCCGGATTTTTTAATTCTTTATTTTAAATATGGAGCTGTTAAGACATTTGTATATTAATTATCTGTATGTCGTGTTTTATATACAGTAATGATATATATTATTAAATTAATATTATTTTTTTACTTTTAGCTCCATGGACACTAATACAGTGTTTTTTTCTATATATACCCATTGTGCGTTCAGCACTAAGCGGATTTGTGCCTGACCAATGGATTGACTAGATGGAATTTTCTGGGTCTTCGTAGAAAATCCTCCTCTGAGACAACTCCCTTTGATAGATCGATCTTATTCTATCAATTCAATCAATTCATCAATCCTTCATTTGAGTTTAGTTTTAATCAACGATAAACCTTCCATTTTGTACATACGACTTTGGATACGCCATCACATCCAGGTTTCTTGCATCACCCCGACTTTTCTGTGAGTTGTAATCAGTGGCTCAGTTCCTCTCCCTTGGTGTCTTTCCATGGCATTGGAGCAGTTGGACCCTTTTCCCGCCTTCGTTTCAACCTGTCTTTCAATTAAGAACGAACCTTTTCTTTCGTGTCCTTTTTATTTTCATGCAGAAGCAGAAGAAAATTGACTCTTGTCGTGTATGATGTTTAATTAATTTCTAATGCTGTGCAATCTCTTCTGTACGGCAACTTCATATTCAGAAAGATGGAAAACTATCCTTAGGTTACCATTTTTTGAATCATATATTGATGAACTCTTTCTTGGCACGGTATCGCATCAAGTCCATTCCACTTGTAATACATTCCAACACCGGGCATCAATGCCAATCCTTTTCTTCTTCCACTATCCATCTTACAAAACTCTACTGTATATCGTATGTACTGTACTGTAAATCCACAGAACGTCCAATAAACGACCTCGACTATGAAATACAATACAATTATGTACTGTACGTCCAGTGTAAGTTTCAAGAGGAATACGACATTCTGGATAAATTGTGTATGTTTTCCTTTTATTTCTGGGAACTAGAAGCCTTTTTTTTTACTCGTGACTATCATGGACCAAGTGAGGAATGGGATACGACTGTGTGAAGTGCGCGAATACCGTGGACAAAGAAAGTCAACTTTTATAATATAAGAGTCTTTAATTGGCGTACAGAATACAGGAAATATTGATCAGATGCCAGCTACAATCTCTATCCCTGAACTTATTACACTATTTTAGTAACTAACATTTAACATAAGTTATATATCGTGACAATTCTTCCTTACTTAAATTACTAGTCTACCAATAGAAAGTACAAATTATATCTTATGGCTAAAACTATGGCTAATTATTATCTACTAAAGGTGAAATATAGATTTAAGGCAAGAAAGAAATGAAAAATAAAAATGAGATAAAAGTCGGGTACCCAATGATTTTCACAGTGATATTTGTAAGTGGGATGAGCTTCTCGATTCACAGCGAATATAAATTACTTTCCTAAGGAATTTTATTTTGCTATACACCCTGGAATGAACGAAAACACCCTTCACAGTTTTTGCTATCCTCGATTTCCTTTTCCCCTCAAAAAAGTCTGTT